CCTCAAGCACGAGACGGTGAGAGGTTGATGGAAGGGGAGATGGGGCGGTGAGTGAGTCGATGCCGCTCTCCTTCTAGTGTGATGATGAAATCCAGTCGCCGAACGCACGCGTGTGCCTTGGGGCCTGTGTGATTGCGTGGGTGGTCATCCGAGACCGGTTTGGAGCAACGCAAAGCCCCTACAGGCGCCAACCGCCGGTGTTTCGCGTACAAGCACCGGCAAGTGAATTTATAGTAATGCGCGTTAGGCTCGGATGGTGCGCTAAAGGACACAGGATTTATCTTGGTTGGGCGAAACGTCCCTACGTCCGGTTTGTTCTTTGCTTGTGTTATTAGCACCGTAACGATCTGTAGTAAGGGATACAAAGCTGCCGAGAGAGGACCGGTCCCAAGTCTCGATCGAAGGATTGAAAGGTGGTCAAGAGCTTCAGAGTCGCTTGAATGTGTGTGAGTGCGTTCTATTGTTTTGTCCTCCTTTTTCTTCCGTCCCCCTTGATGGAAGAAGCGCATCCCTTTATAGATGAAGGGCCGGCTTTACAAGGGTAAGGGCTCCGGGACGCGTACTCTACTTAGTCTTGTGGCTCACGTCTACACTGGTCGGTCCTCCACTCGATGAGTGCGAAGGAAGATAAGTGTTTACAATGTTGTCGATGTCTCTCGTGAGGATGTCGTTAGTCACGTAATGCTGCCTACTTGCAGGTATGGGCTGCAGATCAGATGGTTTTGACTTATGAGCCTCCCCACCTTTGCTCCGCACGCCTTACGGTTCTCATGAGTCCTCGTTGGGAGAATGCGGGTCGGGTCCGGTGTAACGCCGTGGTCAAGGCCTTCTGACTGGGAGGACCTGAGGGGTCGGGAAGCGGGCGCCGCTCCCTCGGGTCCACCGTGTGGTGACGGAATACCCATCGTTCGTGGAGATAGCAAATCCTTTCCTGGAGCGTAGCGGTTGTCGTATATCTTCGTCGGGTTCCGTGTCCCAGAGCTGAAGGCGGCGCCTACAACTCTACAGGGTGAGGTGCACGCACCTGTAATACCTTTTGGGCTCTGCGGCGCCCGGAAGGGTCTAAAGCTTGATCCCGTCGTTCCTGGCAGTCCTTTTCTGCCGAGGCGCAGGTATGGTCGTTGGAGCCATGGTTGACTCGAACGTCTTGTCTCGTCTGTACACCCATCATTATGAGGGATATATATCGATCGTAGCGAGGCTGCTTGCACGGGCCGTCGGGTGAGGACCCGCCCCTCCCGGGGGTGGGCGAGACAGAATTCACCCTCGGCCCTCGGGCGAGACCGAGCCCGCCCTCAAGGCGTCGTGGCGAGGCGGAGTTTATCCTCGGCCTCGGGCGAGACCGAGCCCGCCCTATAGGCGTCAAGTAGACGGAGATTAGCCTTGAGCTTTTGGGGCGGGCGGGGTTATCCTACAAAGGCGTCGGGTAGGTAGGCGACCCGCCCCCGGGGGTGGGCGAGGCGGAATTCATCCCTCAAATTTCGGGCGAGACCGAGCCCGCCCTCAAGGCGTCAGGCGAGGCGAACCGAACTCCTGTTACTCGAACAAGGGATGACATGGAGCCCTTATGCATCTAGAAGTTTTTCACGTTCGGTGGTCATCGGTTCCACCTTCTGGGGTACCCTGGTATTAGGTCCCCGACAGTGCCTTTCATCTGTTTTTCGAATGCCCTTTTAGCCAGAGCTGTTGGCACTATCTCAATATTCATTGGACTCTGAATCTTCAGCCGTTGGACATGATCATTGAGGCTAGAACAAACTTCGGAAGCATCGTTTTAAGAGAGATAGTAGTAACAGCATGCTGGATCATTTGCAAAATGAGGAATTGCATCATTTTTGACAATGCCTCCTGTAACCTCTCAGTTTGGAAGAGCAACTTCAAAGAGAGCTTGGACTGGTGTGTATCAAAGCCAAGCCCAGCAGGAGCCTCATTTTGAAACAGTGGCGAGAGAGTCTCTTATGATGTATTTCATTTCTTTTTTCTTTTGGGCCTAGTAGCCCTCGTAAAATGTAAATATCTGTAAAGTTTTGTACCGTTTATTAATGAAAATGAAAAAAAATCAGGTAGGGAATTTCCCTGCTGACTTGTTCAAAAAAGAGTAGACTGCATATGTTGCGACGGTAGGACGAATGTTGCAGAGGATATGAGACATTATGACGGGAAAGAGGCGTGGCGGAGACAGAACGCGGTGAAGGATGGGGCGCGGCGGGGGATGGCGCCACGGAAGGGGCAGGAGCGCGTCGCGGCGGGGGAGGCGTGGGATGGGTCGCGCGGTCGAACGCAGTCACTGGCGTGTGGCGTGGGATTGATCGCAGGGGGGTGTCTGATGCAGGCATGGGACGTGGCATGCGATGTGGGATGCAGGTGCCAGAGCTGCGTCCGAACGGGAGGTAGCGTCGGGACGTCCCCTGTTTTAGGTTAGCTCCACGTTTTTTAGCCAAATGATTCAGCTACACGCAACTCTGCTGCAGGAAAAAAAGAAATTGTGAGGCCGCCTAAAGGAGTGCTCCACAAACTATGTTATTTAGAGCTGCTTCACAATGGAGTTGTGGAGCGAGTTCGTGAAGCAGTCCCAAACACCCTCAATATAGAGGTACTAAGTCAAACATTTCTAATTCTAACTATTAATTTTAAAAATATATCAATTAGCAAAGTAAGATTTATATCTTTAGAATCCCTATATGATCCAGTGGCGAAATCAAATGTTTTTCTTAGGATGTTGTTACCTACAATAACTTCGATGCTGCAACGAAACGTCATTGCAGACCTTGATTTCATCAACAAGAGACCAAATTAGAGCCATTATTTGTAAGTGTAGGTTGCTGTTGGGCATTCTTCACGAGGACATCATCAATCTTATGGCCAATGACCACAAGCTTGGGGTGTTTGGTTTCTTTTACTAAAATTTAGTCACGGTCACATCAGATATTTAGACACTAATTTAGAGTATTAAACGTAGACTAATTATAAAACTAATTACATAGATTAAGACTAATTTACTAGATGAATCTATTAAGCCTAGTTAAACTCATGTTTAGTCTTTCTAATAATTAGTATTAAATACCTAATGTGACATCTAGTAAACTTTAGTCTCTGTATCAAACGTTCAAATGACTCAGGTCTAAAAAATGACATGTGCAGTAATTGTAGGTTGACTGCCGTATGGGCGCGTATGTATAAGGCATCCACGTCAGCGCCACCACACAAGGTCTCGACGAGGGGGAGGCGTCTGCTGGCGCTGCAGCACTGACCGCAATCCACTTCCGAGTCTCGCTTGCGCCGCCCGACACGTTGAGGAATTCCACATCGAGACACATGTGAGGCCAGTGTTTCTCGGCGTGCCGTTGTCTGCGTCTCGCTACCCTTCACCTCTGCTCTGCTGCTACGTCTCGTGTCAGGCTGTTGTCAGCTAGCTTGGGGGGGCGGGGCAGTTGGGCACTACGGCCGGCCATGGCCGCCGCGGCGAATACACCTCAGTTTCACCAGCCGTGGCAGCTGGTCGTCCCAGCGAGAGCGAGCGCGGGCCGCCGCACGGGCCGGCCAGCCGCTGCCGCAGGAGTCGGAGCTGGCGGTGCGCGGAACGCATGGACGAGCAGGCCACCGCCGCCTGCAGCTCGGCGCGCCGTGAGGGCCAAGGCCGGGGCGGCCGAGGCGCGGCCATCGTCGCCGCCGGACGCCGTGACCTACAGCGTGAGCATCTCCACCGACACGCCCGTCCACGAATCCCCGGGGGTAAGCCAGCTACCAGCTACCACCTAATCTCTGCGAGTGCGGCCATAGATGTGGATTGGAGCAAAAATTGAAGCTGGCCCGGATGGGCCGTGCGTGCACGTGCAGGTCTCCTTCGACGAGTACCTCCAGGACCGCGCGCGCGTGTTCCGCGCCATGTTCCCCGACGAGAGCAGGAGCCAGCGGGTCGGCGACGTACGTAACCACCACCTCACGCGCCCGCTCCTGTTGATTTCTCCAGCTCGCCCGGCGAAACCGATAGATTTTGGGTTCTGCAGGGGGAGTGGCGGGTCCAGATGCTGCCGCTGCAGTTCCTCCTCCTCACCGTGCGCCCCGTCGTCGTCATGCAGCTACGGCACCGCGCCGGCGGGCTCGACCTCCGAGTCGTGCGTATAGCTTGACCAGCCGGCTGGCTTACCAGAATTCTTCCTTCCTTCTCCTTCGTGTACCAGCACCTGCAACTGCGAGTGGTGATCGAAATGTGCCTTTTTTTTTGCTGCGGCCCTTTTCAGACGGAGTGGGAACTGAGGGGGCTGGACGTCAGCTACGCCCCCTCCAGCTTCGACCTCGGCGTGAGCGGGTCGTTGTACGCCGACCGGAGCCGGAGCCGCGGGTGCCGGATGAGGGGCCACCTGGAGATCGCCATCACCTGCGTCCTGCCGCCGCCCCTGCGCCTCGTGCCAGAGACCATCCTGCGCGGCGTCGCCGAATCGGTACCTAGCTCAGTAGCTCTCGCCTCGCCTGGCATCCAAAACAGTACTCTTCCGATTCCTGAAAGCTGGAGCCAAGTAATGCAATGCAGGTTCTGTCGAGGCTGGCGGAGAAGATGAAGCGGGACGTGGACGTCGGCCTCGTCGCCGACTTCAGGAGGTTTCACCGGGAGAAGGCGGCAGCGTCCAGGGCTATGCCGACGCTGGACGCGACGGCATCAAACAGAGACCAAAGCCTCTGAAAGCTAGAGTCGCTGACGATCCTAGCCTTAGCTTGTACATGGAGAGGCGTATGTGTGCAGCGTGATCATTTACATCTGGTTTCTGCTATACAGGAACTAATCTGAGACCAGAACACACGGAAACACGGCGGAGTCCAGTCCACTGTCTACATATGAATCTGTCTCTGCATCTCTTATGTAATCACCCATCCCAGCACACCCAACGCGACCCTGACATGTACACCAACACCGCCACACGAGAGCGACCTACCCAAGAACAAAAACATAAGCTAGCGCTCCACCAGCAAGCACCGGCCCTCATCTCTGCCGCCGCCGGTGGTCAGAGGAAGAAGAGCGGCAACGCCAGCAGCAGGGCGCAGATCGCCCACCGAGCGCTGGACACTAGGCTCTCGGCACCGTCCAGAGGGATCAGGGTGTTGGAGGGGCTCCCGATCCCCGGCGTGAACGTCGACGGCGGGGAGAAGCCGCTGGGGGCGCTCGCGGCCGGCGTGCCGCCTCCTGCCATGGAGCTGCATGCCGACAAGAGAAATGTGACGTGTTACAACTTACAAGCTGGTGCACGTTTCTGACTGACATGTATGGTGCGCTTCTGTGATCTCAAGATGCTCACCTTCCCGTGAAGACGCACTGCCCCGAGCCTGAAATGAGAACAATTGAAATGAAAAGATCAGAGGTCGTGATTCAGACAATTCCCATCAAATTTAATGAAACTGAATCTCGGAACATTGGTACTGCGCAAACTTTGCTTGACTGAACCTTGCCAAGGACGAGGACATGCTTTCTCTTGCAATTGCAAGGAACATTTCATATTGACAGGTAATAAACAGTAGACTTACTGGGATCAGCGGTGGTGGTCATGGCCGTGCCGTCGAAGTTGCAGGAGCCGCCGGTGGCAAAGTTCTTCTGGTAGTAGTCGTTGTACGCGTAGGACGCTAGCGCCTCCAGGTTGTTCTGCTTGTAGCACGGTCCGCCGGGCTGGATGGGCGCGCAGTTCGCTTGGCCCGGCCCGCACGCCCAGTTCAGTCCCACCTGCAGCGCCGTTGGGTCCGCGCCCGGCTTCGCCACACAGAACATGCTGGTGGCCAGCGACCTCCTCTTGCTGCCGTCCTCTGAGTCTGGAGCGACAGTGGTTTCAGCATGGCTGCCTGCACATTGTAGGAACAGAGCACGTTGTGAAGTTGCAACAAATGAAGAAACTGGGGGCTGGGGTTTGAGCTACTGCAGAAAACATCAGAGCAAAGAGCGTTCTCGTCTACAACACCGCCCTCATGCAACCCTACAGACTCCACGGACACATGAAAATATATCTATATTTGCAAATAAGTGGGGGTGAACTACACTTGCTCAAGGAAAAAGGGTAAAAAAGTACCGGAGATCCGCACACACAAAGAGCATTTTCACTGATGTAAGACTACATGAAAGTGATATGCTCCGAGCTTCATATAATCAGATATTTTGCAGCATAAACCCATCCACAGCCACAAAAGTAGCACCGCCTTTTATGGTGAAATTTTCAGGGGCATTGGGAATCTCAATAATGAGAAAAAAGAAGTGAGAAAGAAATGGATGCGGCTACTGCAGCGAAAGCTACGTTACACGTACCTGATACGTTTGCCAGAAGGAAGATGAGCAGGAGCAGGCATCCGTGCAAGTACAATGTTTTGCCGAGCATTTTACTATTCGACTCTCTAACCGCCAACATTCTCATCGACCACCTGCTACCGTAACAATGTGCTGAAATTTTAGATATAGTAATCGAGAGCAAAGGAAAAGGAACAAAGACATCACGTCAGCAAGAGCAATCGAGAGAAAACTAGTGAAAGCAATTCATCAAACAAGTTGTTCAAGGAATTAAAATATTAGATTTTGAGCATAATCAAGCAGGAGTTGTTGGCGCACAACATTATAGTACTTTTTCCATCACAGAATATGTACGTGTACGTCGGAGAGACACGTATATTGATTATCGAATCATGTGAAAGAAAAGATCTCAAATATTGTGGTTTTGTATTTTCGGATTGGGATGTCTAAAAGTTTTGAATGGTAGACAATGTGACAACATGGAGGAGCATCCATAGTCCTCTAATTAAAAAGAGGACCAACATTTGATCTTCAATTCAATCTTACAAGTTACAAGGTTGTATGTATAGCAGCACTCAAAACTCTACCTTCATGATCACTCTTCTTTTTTTCCTTATAACCCTAGATAGACCCTTGTGGAGCGAATTACATATTCGCACCATTATAGCATGACGTAACAGAAGCGGAACAAGAGACGTCTCTTGGAAAACGAAGATAGTGAAACGCATGCGTCACAGTCATACTCCAAATTTCTAATCCTACTCTTCAGTCTTGACTCACAATCAAGTAAAACTATTGCGTCGGCATGAACTAATACCACTTCCTTTCCCCCTTTTTGTGCTGCTTATTAAGCTGAAAGAAACATCGACCTACATGGTAGATGAATTTCTTCGCTGCACAGGTGCATATATCCTATTATATTCTAGGGAAATTCTCGGCGGATCCTGAACTACTGATTTGATCTGTAATCTATGGAGAGAAAATAGTATTGGCTGGTAAAAGAGCAGTAGGTTGATCGAATTGTGATAATTCAACGGATTCTGACGAGTGATTCTGCAACCTGATAGCAGGGGCGGCCCCAGCTTATTACTCCTTCGAGTTCCAATGCTCCGTTTCGCACAGCACAGGAAAGGAGAGAGAAGAGCGCATACCTGGCGGGTGCTCGTCGCCGGCGAAGACCCGGCGAAGGGACTGACGATGCTACTAGACCAGCAGCAGCGCACCTGGCGTAGGGCAGCGGCGGCGGTCGCCGAGTTGCGGGAGAGAGAAAGAGCGAGCGAGCACGCAGGGTGAACGGGGAACGGGAGAAGAAAAGGCAACAACTCTGGTGCTGTTTGGAAGGACCCTATACAGAAATCTGTGTGGGTCCACATCAGGAGTAGTAAGTAAATCGACCCGTTTTTATTTTCTGGATGGAAGAAAACATTTCGGCACCTCTATAACCCTTCTGGATTTTATTAAAATAACAATATATTTCATTCATAAAAAACAATTCTCGCTTCTAAAAAAATCAAACAAATTTAAGTTTAATCAAATCCATATAAAAGATACTGACATTTATGATACTAATGGCCGGTGTGGCCATTGTGTTTTTCCACGGTTGACCACATGGAGCCGCACTCTTGATGGTGAATCGGTGATGACTCCAATTTCTCATTGTGCCTGATGTGGTAGTACCAACCACCTATGCCATTATCTTCCCTCCACATGGATACCCTACAAGCGTGTGCAACAAAAGATAAGGTACAAGAAGCATGGCGAATATTTGGAAAACAAAAAGGTCCAACCTTTTGTTGGTTGCTTTTGTGAAACTCAAAGCGAATGTCCATGAAAAATGAATTGATATAGATAGATACAAGGGGGAAAAAAGGTGGATGTGCTCGATCATTACGCAAGCGTGTGCATAGTTGCTTTGGAGTGGACATAACAGTTGGAAAACTGTAGAACATCTGCACTGCTAATCTTTCTTTTGTGGATTGATGTTTATGATTGTCTTCCAAATTATATAGAATCTTAAATTCCATGTCTTCTCCTTTCAGAGCAAAGACAGTGATTCGTCGTTGTGGGAAAAGAAACATGAATTAGTGGAAAAAGTGCAAGCGAAAACAAAAGCCATGCTGATTGATCATTAGTATAAAGTTTAAGCATGGATATTATCCATTCTCTATGCGCATTGACCTCTAGTCCAACCATTCTCTATGCCAAAGGGCCTCTAGTCCAAGTGGTTAGAGCGTCCCGGCAGTACTCCTCGGGTCCTGGGTTCGACTCTCCGTGGGAGCGAATTTCAGGCTGGGGTTAAAAAAAATCCTCTCGTCTGTCCCACGCTAAAGCACAGGTCTAAGGACCGACCCGTTCTCACAGGGCGACGGTGCCTACGTGAGAAGGTCTTCTTCTTAATGCAATGCCTGGGGGTGGTTACACCCTCACAGGTCCAGTTTTTTTCTATGCGCATTGACCCATATAACTTTCAAAATAGGTCTCGTGTCCCCCTCCCCCTATCCGCTCAGTCCACTACGCCGACACTAGAAATCTGTTGATTTTCCCCTTTTCCATTCGTGCAATGCTATATCTACCTTAGCACTGTATGTTCCTTGCCATCTTCGTATGTAGAAACATGATATAAATATGATCCTTTGAACAACTTATAGCAAGTTTGGGCAATAAGTGTTTGGGCTGTTAAATGGACTCATCCTTCGCGAGCATATATTTAAGCGTAATCATAAAAGATTAGTTGATGGATACAATGCGTTACAGTAATTTCTTAAACCAAACTCCATGCATATTCGCGTAAGACCCTCTAAGTCAGTGGTACATTTTTAGATAATGAAGCTAGTGGTAGATATTTTCTTCTCTTTTCCCGTGAAGAGTCAACAATTCTAATTATTATTCATTCTCTTATATGCCGACCATTGTAGCAACTATATAAACGCCTAATTTGTTTAAAAAAGAAAATGTAATCGCATGAATATCCTTTGTTATTTATTTAAACCCTTACATTTTCGCGATATATATTAATTCAATCACCGATTTGTTGGTATGAACAGGTGGATGCGGGTAAAATTATATACAGATATATCATGTAACAACTTTTTAAACCAGATCAACTCTATATAAAATAATATCAGTTTATATATTTCATAATTAATGATATTGTACTTATTTAGAATGTGTTTGGTTACTGGGTCGGAGGGGGTTGGAACGGGTCGGACCCCCTTCATCCCATGTTTGGTTGTAAAGAGAATTAGGTTGGGTTGAACCCACATTGGTATATTCCCCTTAGATCCGGGTCCGGGTGAATCCTCCAAAATGGAGGAATCGTTTCGACCCAGTTCCTCCCGCACAATCCTCTCACCGCTCGCTCCCGTTCTCACCCCCCCGACCACGACGCCCGGTCGCCAAGGCCAAGGCTTGACCAGCGTCGCCGCCGCCCCTCTCCCGCCACACTTTCTCCTCTCCCATCTCTCCTGGACGCAGCTTCTCCAGAGTAGATCTCGCCGCCGCCGCCCCTCAAAAACTCGACAGATCCCTGCCCTCCATTGTGTCTGACCGTCATCGGCCCCTGACCGCCGCCGAGCCCCTAACCCGCCGCCCGCCCCTCAACCGCCACCGCGCCGCCTCTAGCACCTACCACCTTACCCCCCTAAGCTTCTAGCACTAGCCTACCCCTTACCAAGCCTCCAGTATACGGCCTACCCTATAAGGTAAGACCAATCTGTCTAAAAAATATTTGTGGATCTGTTGCATATAATGTCAAGTATACTTCAAATAATACTTCATGTAAACATACTTCAATTGTCAAGTATAAGCATGATGTTGTTTTCGAATAATATAGAAAGCATGCACTGCCATTCAGACCATGGCTGAAGAGTACTTGTGTGATGGTTCATTCTTGTATTGTAGATGGATAGGAGGACCAAGATTGTAACTTGTGTTGCTGCTGCATACATGTTGTTGCCAATGATGGCGGTGATTATTCAGTCTAGGAAACGTAAATGATGTAGAAGAAGGGTTGGTATTACCTATGGGCCTATGGAGGCAAGGGATAGGATGAGAGTAGATTATCTAAATAACAAAATTTGGAAGGATGACACAACTTGTTTGAACATGTTAAGACTTAATAGAGGCAAGTTCTTTCGGTTTTGCAATCTTTTTAGAGAGCGTGGTTTGCTTCAAGATACATGTAACTTGTGTGTTGAGCAACAGGTGGGTATGTTTCTAAATACAGTGGGACATAACCTTAGAAATAGGTTAGTTGGATCTAATTTTGATAGATCGGGAGAAACAGTTAGCCGCTATTTCAACGGAGTAGTCCGTGCTATTGGAGAGCTGCGAGGGGAACTAATTAGGCCCCCGTCTTTGGACACTTCAAGCAAAATTACAGGGAACAACAGATGGGATCCTTACTTTAAGGTGTGAGGCTTATTCCTGTTTTGTTTTGAATTTTGTATTAATCTAACCTTATATGGTCCCTAATCTTTACCTTTTTGAAAAAATAGGATTGTATTGGAGCTATTGATGGTACTCATGTAAGAGCATCTGTTCCTAAGAACATTGAACATGCCTTTTGTGGTAGGAAATCCTTTTGCACACAAAATGTAATAGCAGCTGTAGATTTTGATCTACGGTTCACCTATGTGTTGGCTGGTTGGGAAGGGGCTGCACATGATGCTCTAGTTTTACATGATGCTTTAGAACATGAGAATGGCCTTCGTGTCCCACAAGGTAATAGAGTAGTAAACTCTCAGCTTTTACATACAAATTTCAGTTTATAGTATTATGACCAAATTTCAAATGATAGGCAAATTCTACCTAGTCGATGCTGGATATAGAGCCAAACCAGGATTTTTGCCCCCCCTTCGTGGAGTTCAGTACCACTTAAACGAATGGGGAAGTAATCCATTACAAAATGAGAAGGAATTGTTCAACCTTAGGCACTCATCACTACGTGTCATAGTAGAGCGGGCATTTGGAGCACTAAAGAGGAGATTGAAAATTCTTGATGATGCTACTCCATTCTTCCCTTTTCCAACACAAGTAGATATTGTTTGTGCTTGCTGCATTATTCACAATTGGGTCATACAAGATGGGCGTGATCAGTTATTCACAGAGGATACTAATTGGCCAAGCTACAACCATGCTTCCACACGCATTGGCCAAGCAATTGAGCATGCTGCTATGGTTAATTTTAGACAGCAGCTGGCAGATCAGATGTGGGCAGACCGAGAAAACAACAATGTTAACTAATATTTCTATCAAACTTGAATTTATTTTAGTTGTCTAACATCTTTAAGCCTTTCTTGGCTGATGTATTGCTATTTGTAAGGACGTATTTGTCACCAAGCTATTTGTATAACAATTTTTAGTTGTATAACAATTTTAGCTATTTTTATGAACATGTTGCTTGCTGAATTTTATGTAATTTGTGGTGATAATGTCCATTTCAGCTACATCTTGGTGCTGATTTTGTAATGATACTAATGTCCATTTTGGCTACATCTTGGTGCTGATTTTGTACTGCTACTTTTGCTGATTGTGTTTTTGTGTGGTAGAACAATGGAGGAAGTAGCTGAAGGGTGTGGGGGAACTAATGGGCATGCTATGTGGACATCAACAATGCCTGCTTTAATGCTCTCTCACCTCAATGATTTGGTGGCTTCTGGTTTGAAGACATCAAAGGGCTTTAAGAAACACCTTTTCAATGGTTGTGCTAGGGCTATCAATAAGAAGTTCACCACAAGGTTCACTGGTGAGCAAGTCAAGAATCATTTGAAAACCTGGCAGAAAAGGTATGCAAAGATAAATAGATTGAAGAAATTGAGTGGTGCCCTCTTTGATAAAGAAAATTGCATGATTACACTAGATGAGGAGCACTACAACGGCCATGTCCATGTAAACTTACCATCTTTTGCTTAGTTCTTGATTCATTGATCAATGTTACATTATATTAACTTATTTGTCCTCCATGTCTAGGATCACAAGGCTGATGCTGAGTTCTTGAACAAGCCCCTCTTGCACTACAAAGAGATGGAGGCAATATTTGGCAATACCATGGCTACTGGAAACTTTGCAAAAGACTCAAGTGCACCTCTAGGTACAGAGGATGATGAGATTGAAAGTCAAGAAGAGGGGGATAAGGTTACTAGGGCATGGTCCAAGTGATGGGCCTAGCACTCAAGGGGCAACATCTTCTGCTAGTAGACCAAGTAAGAAGGCTAGGGTAGCTGAAATGGAGGAGGATGGGCTGGTTGTCGCTTTCAAAAGTGTAGGTGAGAACCTTACCGCTGCCATAAAATTGGTTGCTAAACCTGATAATGAGCTGCCAGATGACCTATTTGACATCTTGAACCAACTTCCTGGTTTTAATTCAGCACACATATCTTTCTACTATGCTCATTTGGTGGCAAATCCTCATGTTGGCAGAGCTTTCTATAAACTTCCATTTGAGCACAAGTTAAATTGGGTCACAATGTTCATCGCTGAGAAGTTCCCTGGAATGTAAGGGTGATTTAGATGTGTGGGATGTTTCTTTTGTTAGAACTTGAATATTATGTCAGTGTGTAAGCCTTGAACTTATATTATGTAAGGCTTGAACATGGTGTAACTTGTATTGCCTTGAACTTGGTATATGTAAGTAAGGCTTGAACTTGATTAACGTTGCTCAAGATATATGATTTGGTGTGCCTGCTTGTTGCCTCTGTTGAATTGTTGAATTGGTGTGCTCAAGGGACATGCTTTTGGCTTTTTTGCATGTGTTTATAAACAGAAAGAAAATGAGCATGTCAATTGTTTGTTTGTTTGTCCCTTGAGCAAACGAGAATTGGTGAAATATTGAATTGGTGAAATGGTGTGCTCAACAGACAGCTCCTGTTAAGAATTGGTGAATTGTTGAACGTGTGTGTGTTGAATTGTGGCAGCTAATGTGTGTGTGGTAATCTCACCAAGAAGGTGAGCATATTCACTGTCCAACCCGCATCCTCCAACCAAACAAGAGATGGAACCACTCCAACCCACTTTATCCTCCAATCAAACAAGAAACTGGGTCCAACCCAACCCTGCAACCAAACAAGAACTGGGTTCACTCCAACCCAGAAAACTAGGTTGGCTCCGACCCAACCCGCATGGTCCCAAAACCAAACGCATGCTAGGGGTTTTTGTCAGCGCACCGGCCAGATCGTCTATATCTACATTCTTAATAAGAAATACTAAATGACCTAGGGAGGCAAACCTTGTATTGCGTGTCCTTCTGCACTCTTTCTTTGGAATAAAATATTGAGAGAAGATGAAGAATATTAATGTGATATTCCATATACCAAGCACAGTCTCGAGAAAGGAAATATTAAGCATAAAAACATGTAAGAACATCTCCAGTAGTTCAAAATAAATAAAAAGAAAAGTTAGGAGCATATTCGTTGGATTCCTCTAATCATTTTTAAAATATCGCTTTTAAAAGAAAGAAGGCAATTTTGCATCAAGAATTCCAAACTATTCCTTAATCATGCCAAACCACTTTTATAATTTATTTCTCTCTTATACATTTGCACTGAGAATCCTGTTCTTACTCTATATGATATTCAAATTTGGATTCAGCTTTGAACAATCCAATGCCTGTTCTTACTCTATATGATATTCGATTTTGAATTCAGCTTTGAAAGATCGAATTTAGTTCATATCCGTATTTGAGGATATTTAACTCTATATTGTATTTGTTTTAAAATATGAATATAAGTGTGGGAAGTGTGCTATCCAATTTGACGGCTAGGAACGATATTAAGGACATTGCTGCCTACTGATCATTGTCCATCTCCGTTGGGAAGTGGTGCTGGAGCTGGCCAGCACAATAGTGTAACTTTCCACGAGAGCTGAAGTCGAGCAAAAAAATAAAAGTTTCAGAAATGAACCGCACACTTTAATAGTTAATGATTGAAATTGAGCCCAAAGAGCGAAGTTTGAGGATCGAAACAGTTACTTTGAAAGTATATTCCATAATCAGTCAATAATACTTATTATACATCATACATATTAGTATTTTTCCTATATATATTTGGTGGACTCCTCGAGAATAGAGAATTTCATATTTTTTAAGGGCGGAGGCGGTAATTCAGGAATGAAATTAAGCCCAAAGGGCAAAATTTGAGGATCAAAACGATCACTTTGATAATTTAAGATGATATTAAACTAAAAATAAAATTTAAGAATTGAAACAATCTCAGTTCATGCGTTTCACTTTCATATGCCGAAACAAAGGAGAGGCCCAGAAACATGCGGCCCACTCACAAGATGCTAACTACCCCCACGGCCCAGCGCCCGCATCCGCCGCGTATAACCCCATTCCGTTACAACGCGTGTCGCGATCCAACGGTTCTCCAGCGCGCTGTCCGCGCGATAAAGCGCCGGCGCCTCCTCTCGCGTGGGCGCGTGGCCTCCCGAAGGTTCCAGACTCGATTGGACGGATCGGAGCAGCACTCCTCCACGGCTCCACCTCCAGCCCTGACTGATCCGTCGTCTCTTGAGGTAAGCGTGGCTGTGAACTGTGATCCTTCCTCGCAGATTGCTTTTTTGCTGTTTTTTTCGATGGAGGCGCGGATTAGTTGTGAACTGTAGCTACTAGCTGCTTTTGGAGGATGGATCGTTCGTTATGCTCAACCCTAATCCTTTTTACTGGTCATCGGTATGTCATTTTGTTTGTTTAGGCCATGATCTAAGTGATGCATGATGGTGGATAGATGACTCTTCTGCGATTGTTAAATTCAGGGCATTTCGCTAGTTATTTCACAGTTTGCACGTGAATTTGTGGTTAGTTTTGTTCTGTGTGATTACTCTGCGTCCTTGATGAAGCTATTTGTGTTGCTATTTGGTTTTGTGGCTGTAGTCTGCTGTGATGAACCCATTATTTCGCGATTAATCGTATTTAGGATTCTGTAGTCTCGATTGATTGAAAATAGGCAGTGAACCCATTCCATTTGCTATTTCACTATATTTAGGATTATGTGGATTCGATGCCAAGTCCCGAAGGGTAGCTTTTAGGGAGGGAATGATGAGATGTTGGAAGTTCACAAGTTTGTGCCTTTCTTAAAGGCTGGGTAGACTGCCCCTTGTCTTTTGTACAGTAATGTCCTTTTCAGATGTCTTCATTGTGCATCTACCGTTTCATTAATTAGGGAGTTACTAATGTCTATACTTAACTATAGTGTCGGCTTATATTATTGGTTAACCTAGATCAATATGAGAAGGGGCTACAGTTACAGTCCTTCACCACCAAGGGGCTACAGGAGAAGGGCTCGCAGCCCAAGTCCCCGTGATCATTATGGTGGCCGTGGTAGGGATCTCCCAACCAGTCTTCTGGTCAGGAATCTCCGTCGGGACTGCAGGTAAAGATTTGTCAAACACTCACTTTCCCCCGCAATTGCAGCTACATCACTCGTAGGTGTGCTGTATGACAAAGTAATTTGTTATCACTTACTCAAACTCAATTCGGTGCTATGCATCTTCAGGACCTAATTGGAGGGCAAATCTGTATGGCTATCATTTATATTTATTTGTTTAAGCATGCCAAATATATGGTCTTGTAAACCTATCCAATTACAAAAGGAAAATCAATAACCTTAGCTTGTTGATACTAGGATAAATTATGTAACACCGAAGTTATTTCTATTAATTGCAATTCTAGGCTCTTCGTTGAATGGAATATATAGTGATATAGATTCAAAGACGTGTATCCGTTTGATTTGTATGTCCAGTTTTCCACCAGATGGTCCATGCATATACATATGCAATTTTGCTGGTAGTCAAGTCAGAGTTTGCTTTAGATGCATCCATCAAAAAGAATGTATATTGCCTGAAACCTCAATGGTTTCTATCTATTTATTCTCTTTGTGCCTTTTATACCGCTTTTTTTTGTTATGGTTCTCGTGCACCAGCTTAAGCCATCATACTGTGGTGTCGCCACTGAGACTTCCTTACTCCCTGTGTTTTTGTCACCTCTAACGCACAGTTCTCTGAATGCAGGCCAGAAGACCTCCGTCGCCCATTTGGACAGTTTGGTCGACTTAAAGATATATATCTTCCAAGAGATTATTACACTGGGTAAGGCAACTAGCTAGGTTGTGTGGCATTGCAAACTGTTGCGGCCCTAAGTGGTGTTGACATAGAACATGATTTCGAAGATTATTACTTTTGCCCACCTCTTGAAGTAACGTGAAAATAATTTTTTGAAGACACAAGCCTAAAAGATTACTGTTGAAGAGAAGGAAGAAATAGAGAATTTCAATTAAGTGATCTGCAACTTAAAAGAGTACTCAGTACTGTTCAAGAGATGGGAAGAATTAGAGTTACAAGTTTAAGAGATACTCACATATGAAGAGTTTCAAGTCTGTATTTAAACTCTCATGAGTGCAAGGTCAGCAGCAAATTAAACTAGTGCACTCTGCACCTGTGTAACTCATTCTTGTCTTCATCTCTGTCAGCAGCCATGTGGAGATCCATAGTTTTACCAGTTTGATACTGTGTGCTGTGAAACACTTGCACCATCTTTCTTAGAACATAACCTTTTTTTTATCTTTGGAAGATGAGTACATGTCTTTAAGAACTCATAAAGATTTTTCTTCTGTGCACTACAGGGAGCCCCGAGGGTTTGGGTTTGTCCAGTATTATGATCCTGATGATGCTGCCGATGCAAAGTATTGTATGGATGGGCAGGTAGTTTTTGGTAGGCAAATAACAGTTGTTTTTGCAGAAGAGAACAGAAAGAAGCCTCAAGAGATGAGAGCTAGGGATGGAGTCAGGTTTGTTGGCTCCTCCCAGTGCAACTACCTTGCCACTGAATGGCACACTGCCTCTCTATTCATTCTCTCTCTTTTTTTTTGCTGCATATTGCAGGGGTCATTCTTATGATAGGAGGTATTCTCGCTCTAGGTCCCCTCGTTATTATAGGGGCCGCTCTCCTTCACGCAGCCGAAGCTACTCGAGGTATGCTTGCGCCTTGCATCTTCATCTTACAGTTTTGTCTACACAGCGAGCACTCATTTCTCAATGATGCAATCAAATCTGTTGCATTGGTAGGTCTCCGTCACCTCAGGATCCAAAACACAGACTTAGAGAGAGGTCGTACTCCGGCTCACCTGTGGACAGCAGATCAAGAAGTGGGAGCCCGTATGAGGATGGATATCGCAGATCGCCACGAAGAGAGAGGTCTCTTTCTGTCAGCGGATGAAGCAATTTTACGGTCTAGAGCTACTGCTGTGAATCTGCGCATGGTGGCCTACTTGCTATGTCTTTCTGAACCAAATATATTCTGTCTAGATTATCATTCCCAGTACCAGAGAAGTGTCGTGAGACTGTTTGCTGTACTTATTAGTCTTGAGGATACAGGACGGGGGTCACCAATTCTCAGTAGACGGACTACGACCACTAGCTACGCCAGTGCCACTGCTTTGTGTATTTATAGGCAGCTTTGTGGTATGAATAAAATTGGTTGGGTTGTGAAAGCTAATTGGTAAACTTTTTTTATGGATCATGAAACGAACGTTTTACATCGCTGAACTAAGGCAGGGTTACGTTTTTTATTTTCTTTTGACGAACAATTTGGCAACTCTGCATCTTATTAAGCCGATATGCAGCGCAGGTTAGCTAAATCCTTTTAAGCATTTCGTCAAACATCAATAGATGATGGATGACCATGTGCTTGGTGGTATTTGAAGAGTGAGAAAATTGCTCAATTTCTGTATCAGAATCGGGTATCGTGACCCTTGGACAGCTAATGGACATGTTAGTACAGGATATTCGATATGAAATTCAAATACTGCCAATGCCAACATTGCTAGCGATTTCGAGTCTTTGTCTATAATGTCCTGCAAAGATGATATGAGGGCAAAAGGTTTTCATTCAAAATGTAGCCAATGGAGAACTCTTTCTTGCACTAAAGTACTTTGTTGCCTACTTATTTAAACCCTGATGGCAGTCACCAAATGATTTTCTGCATCCTATACTGGCCGATGTCAGATCACAAATTCTTTGTGAGTAGCACGGCCGCTGGGGTCGATGTGCTATGCTCTCCAGAATTCAGAAATGTAACCGTTACACGCATATCGGTCAGGCCTTCTCAAAAGAACTAGAAAGGTTTTGATGATTCATCAGCAATGGAGACGGGGACTAGGGATTACTAGCGCCGGGACGTTCGGAGCAGATAAGCGTGTTTGGACACCCCATGCATGCTGCTGCCCTAGCCCACCCGTCCGCACCTGTCGCTGAGCCGTATCGCTGTTGCACACGCACGTCCGTCACCCGTATGCCTCACTCCACCCCGCACGCGTATCCCTCTCCCGCCCGCCTCACCCCGGCCCGCACACGCGCCTCGGCTGCGCCCGCCACTCCTTCTCCCTGACCCCCTCCTCTCTTCGCGCGGGCGGGACCCGGGAGCCCGGATGAGGACGAGCACGCCCCGCCCGCAGGACCTCAAGCGCACCGTGCACCCCATCTGCTGGCCCCTAGCTCGCCATACCCACATGACTCCCTGAACATACCTTTGAAACACGAAACACTTGTAACATAAAACATTTGATTGCAATATAAATCTGAATGAGATAAAACATTTAGAATATACACTTACAACATATGTGTGAAACATATGCAATATCCAGATAAAACACTTGCAATATGAAAACACTTACTACAACATAAGAATGAAACAGGTGAAACATTTAGAACATACTCTTGCAACATATGTGTGAAGCATATGCAATATCCAGATCAAAACGCTTGTAACATACGTTTGAAAGATTAAACACTTTGAACAAACGCTTGCAACATGCCTCTGAAACATTTGCAGCATATGCAACATCCCGATCTACTTTCGCAACATCCATGAAACATTTGCAACATATCTCTGAAACATCTGAAACACTTGAAACATACATTTGCAACATGCGCTTTCAGCGCAACATCTCCTTGCTGCTCGGGAATGGAGGCTCGTTGGCGCGTGTAGTTCACCCGTGTATAGCTCACTGCTACGGTGGAGAAGGCCACGACAAGTCCCGTGGAGAAGGCTGCAGTGGGTCTGCGCGCAGGAGAAGCCCGCGTTGGGTGGGAGGCGCGGTGGAGAGGGAGGAAGACTGGCTGCCGTGCTTTGGCGCGGAGGGGATGCCGGCCGGCAGAGCAGAGGCGCGATGGAGAGGGAGACGTGTGGAGAGGCGGCGCGGCGGATCGCGATCGCGGAGAGCTGTCACGGCGCTGCGGTGAGGAGAGTTTTTTCTTTTTCTTTTTTTAGAATGATTAGGAGCGAGTGGATCAGCCGATAAGATACGTCTGTTGGGCTATGTTGTGGCCCACCATCAGCATCGTCTGGCCGGACAGACGGCCCTTTACCAGAATTCAGTGTTACGCGCATATCGGTGAGGCCTTCTGAAGAGAACTAGAAAGGTTTTGATGATTCATCAGTAATGGAGACGGGGACTATTGAATTTCCTCGTTCGATTTTCCCTAGTCATGACTTGAGCAATGAAAATAGTTTGGACTACACTCAAATTATTAAAACTATTTTGTTGGGCGAGGTATTTTAGTATATTTGTTAAAAAGTAAAAAAAAACACTGACACAAATGAATTAAACGTGAGACTCCATGTAAAAAAAAAAACTAGAAATCCATGCAGATAAGACCACGTACTGAATTTTTTAAGTCATGAAGACTGAGAGTTGATTGTGCAGATAAGACCCAATTAACGCAGGCAATGAAAATCCAAATTCAACAAGTTTACAATCACCCAGAAAGATTCAGATGAACTGAAAGATATATCAACCGTGAATCGTATGCTGGGACGCCAGATAGATAATGCTGCAGAACCGTGGAACTTAATAATTTGCTAAGTACTGAGCACGGGCAGCAGAAACAAAAGTGTCGTAAGCTGCCTAAAATAGTACCAAACCAAGCAAATCGAAACATTTAACGTCCCAGGTCGCTATGTTATTGCCAAAACCCCCAGAAAAGTTGTTCATGTCCTCTAGTACTATCTGAATAAAAAGAACAGTAGAACAGGCCCTGTTTCGTCCTGAGACTCCAGGTCAGTTCTTAGCAGTGAGGGCATTCTTTTCCTTGATCCTAGATCGGTTGTCCAACTTGACAAAACGCTTCAGGTCTTCATAAGGGAGTGTCTTGGGATCTTTCCTCCGCAGCTCACTTAGTACAGGACGCTTGTCAAGCAAGTGCCACAGCCAGTCAGGATACTCAGAATCTGGTTGGATTTTCGGATCAGAACCCTCCTTGAGGATGTTTGCCCCAAACACTGTTGTACTCTTGAGCTCTTGGCTGAGAGCAGGAGTTTTGGCAGCATCAGCCGCTCCACCCTTTCCACCCTTCTTTGCCTTGCTTGCAATTGCAAGGCTTCTACTCTCTACCAATTGAGCAGCATTTCTCAGAATAACACCATGCTTTAACCCTCTTGTCCAAGACATCGCCATTCCTGGGTTGAAGTTTTCACTGCATATACACACCATGAGAATGAGACCTGATTGTAAAACTGGTGAAATCAGGGAAATACTGGTGCAGATTATAGAGTTCAGAAAATCAGCAAGCAAAGAATATATCTGAATTGAAGATCATTCAAATACACTGATCGACAAGCACCTTGAAAATATGAGCATGTAGTGAAAGGTCCAAGGCCTTCCTATGGTAGTTTGCTGCTGCTATTTAGTTTTCATAATTTAGAGTACTACAGCTCTGAGAGCTAATACAGGCATTATTTAAGGACTTAGGGCTTGTTTGGATGTACTCGTATCCATCTCAATCCACATGTGTTGGAGTGGATTGGGGTGGAACTTACATGTGGATTGAGATGGATATGAGTGCATCCAAACAAGGCCTTAAGGTATACCATTTCCTTTTTCTTAAGATGTTTGCTGCGTCAGTACATCTTTGTATTGAAAAGCATTGATAATGCCATCGTATACTTTCACCTGTTATTCCAGTGAATAACAGAATCAAGACAAATAAGGACTCCCCCCCCCGCCCCACCCCGCGACGACATGACATCCTCACAGGTTTCATAACAATTCTTGTGGTAGTTGGTTTAGGAAAATAGAAGTGCGTAATATGTTTGCAAAATGAAATAAAAGGGTAGTGCTACGGGAGAAATTTAGAAGTTCCACCGTCCCAGTCATGGCAGGCAGGAAGCTAGGCAAAAAAAAAGCACCTATTTGTATCACGAAGAACGAACCCTTGCACGGTAATCGGCAATAAGAATTCAATCATGGGTCATATTTGAACAGCACGGAAGCTGTTGAGTGCTGACCCTCGATAACATTTCCCAAATATGGAGGCCATGTAATCCACATACAGGTTCAGTAAACCGGCAATAAGGGTGTAACAAACATGCATACGTACACCCCATAATTTTCTCAAAAAGAAGAAAGAATCGAAGCAAGGAGGCAAATACATGCACAGTACACTTGTAACTAGACCAGATCCAAAGTACAAAAAGCTTAAGTTAGGGTTTGTGTGCTCGGCTTCGCACGGCAGGAACGGAAGAGAAGGGGCTGGCGTACCTGGTGGTGGGCGGTCGTCGCCGGCGAAGGAGACCTGGTCACCTGCCGTAGGGTGGCGGCGGTCGCCCAGCCGTCGGCACGAGAGAGAGACAGAGAGAGCGCAACGCGAGAGCTGAGGGGAACGGGAGAACGAAAGGCAGGGCCGCAGGGTAAACGCAGCCCAGGCTCCGGCCGGGCCGACACTGTTTGGAAGCCCAGGATCTTGGCCAGTTCTCGGCCCAGGATAAACTGGATCTGCCTGGCGGTCGCTTGGTTGGGCTCCAGGCTCGAGGCCAGTCCAGCGACTCCCCCGGTCCAACAGCCTGTGCTGCTGGCTGCTGCTGGCAAAAAGAGAGCTCGGCGCCCGCACCGCCCGTACGCTCACGTCTCGTTCACAGCGATCGACGCGCACTGCTCCTGGTTCCTCGGTGGAAAATCAGAAACACCCAGCGGCCCGTCGCCCCGTCCGTCGTGCTAAACAACAAGTTGGCGAAAAGCAGCGGCCAATCGAGTTGGGCGGCAGTTCGCCGCCGTCGGCAGAGCGCGCGCGCGCGCGCGTGGGCGTGTGAACGACCCCGCACATGACGCGATCGACCGGACCGACGACTACGGACAGCCAGCCAAGCCTGGCGAGGGGCAACCATGCGTGCAACAGCGATGACCCGCGCGCCGCAACCACATGGCACATGAGCACTCTCCGCCACGGATTCATCATATACTCCGTGCTAGAATCACACTAGCTAGCTAGGAAATGCTAGCGGTAGTCGTTGTACCCCGTACCCCTGCGCCTACGGTACGGTCTAGTGGCGGTCTCGCGCCGGAGGCACGGCACACGGATCACGGACCGTTGAGATGGGGTCCTTGTCCTTGTCTTTCCGATTCCGATCCTTGTGCGACTTTGGCAGCGACGAGGGGTTCGGCAGCCGCACCATGGATCGGACTAGGGAGCAACACACACTAGCTAGGCAGTAGGCACTGCTACGCGCGCGAGTTATTTACAGCGAGGGCCGTGTTGTTTAGATTGTAAGTTTTTTCACTCTCTTCGTCACATCAAATCTTTGACACATGTATGAAATATTAAATGTAGATAAAAAAATACTAATTATACAGTTTGATCGTAAATTACGAGATTTAATCTTTTGGCTGGTTAAAACATGATTGACAATAATTGTCAAATCTGAACAAAAAGTCTTCTGATCTTGAAATCATCGATTTCTAACCCATCTAAAAAAAAAAAAAAAGTCCGAGGTTTGAATTTGACCTCGGATCGATCGATCACGTCTACCGTACCCCGCGCTCTTGTACTGTTTTTAAATCAGGCCAGCTCAACAGTGAGGCCGAGTAGTCACCAGTCACCCCCAAGTCGTAGGTCGCCTGACGTAGACTCTGCACTGCTCGCTACTCCTCCAGTAGCAATAGCTAGCACTACTTGGCCTTAGTTTTCTGAGCCACACACCTACCGAACCTTTTTCTCCATGTCTGCGGATGAAGGAAATACGCGTGTTTGACCTCGATCGCTCGCTCCGGATAGGAATGAGAAGGACCCATCGATGCTGGCCGGTCAATTCGGTTCTAGGTGCGGCATTGCCATCCCCATCCATCCACCCGTCCGTCCATCGATCTTATACCCGCACCAGCCACTAGCGCGCGCGCTCGCGTCGCCGTCACACAGTCGCTTCATGCGCCGCGGGGGAGATCTCTCGCAAGTCGGGACGGGACCGCGCGCGCTAGCTCTTGACTCGCCACGCACGGAGGAATGCGGTGGTAGTTTCACGTCACGTTGCGCGCGCCGCGCCGCCTGCCGCCTCCGCGTGCGCGTACGTACGTGATGGAGCGTCGATCTGCGGCGCGCGGGGCCGGGCGGACGGGCGGTGCACTGCTCGTCGGTGACGCCGACGTCGTCCCTGCAGCCAGTGCCAGGGAGGCGAGGACGGGCGTCGTACGCCGGCGCACCAAACTAATAGGCGTCGGCTTTTCGTCACTGGTGCTTGGCGGGAAGGTGCGAGCTGGACGTCGCTCGCGGGTGTCCACTGGTCGAGATCGCGCGCGTTTAGTGGGCACTTCCCTTGGACCCCGTCCCCTCACCACTTCGCTTCGGAGTTGAGACGACAGGTGTAAAGCGCCGATCTGGTGGACCTCAGAGTGAAGGGGCATGCCCGGACAGGACAGCAAGAAACAGACACAAAGTTTCAACCCTTCGATTGTGGATGATCATGAAGTAGCCTGCCTTTTTTTTTCCTTAAAACATCCTGTGCACATTATATTATTGTACAAAGAAATACAGAAACACCTAATAACTTTAGTGTTGGGTGAATTTCACGCGGTGGCAAAGCTAAAGCAAATTTACCTTATGGATACGTAGAATTATGTTATAGACACTGCGTATATTGTGAGATTTTAGTCAAACGCACTATTTTTTCTTTTTTTTTCTTAGGGATACATTGGCACCCCAATAAACATTACCTAGCTTCACCCCCTGCTTTAGGTACAAGTCGTAGTCATGTACAACTCCATCACATATATACATACATCTAATAATTGTCATTCAAAAAACTCTTATATATATAATTTGATCGTCCATTTTGAGTATTGTACATTGTCAGTATATAACTGTACAAGATAGGCTCCGTGTGCGTCATAGATTCCGTACTTGCACAACATGTGGAGACCGGGGATGGCGTGTACGGTAGCAGCAGGGGCCAGCGAGGTGGCGACCATATAATACTGCAGGATCGGAGCAGACAGGGCGATAAAGCGCGCGCGATCTGTACGCGGTATCTTACTACAGAAACCACTGTTGCCAAATCAGGGGATGATCAGACGAAACAATACATTTTACACTGCACATGTCAGTTCGTAATCGCCGAAAGATATCTCGCAGCCCTCCCTTCTGCCAAGACGCGACGCCCAGCAGGGCGCGTGATTAGTTTACGACTAAAATATGGTTTGGGTAATGCACCCGACAGCTGGAGCTGCTGTTGGCCAACCTGGAGTAGTCTCTCTCTCTCTCCGACGTACGTTTCCATACACCCTTTTTTTAGTCAATCATGCTGCATTGCATAAAAAAAAAAGCATGTTCGTTTGTTGATTTCAGTCAGAGCTTATCAATCATGGTACAATATTTTTCTCTCACAATAAACCAACACCGGCCGGACTTATCAGACCAGAAACCAACCAGAAGAACGGGCTGAAAAACAATTCATGTTTGGATACAAATGAGCAGCAGCATTTGACGACTCCTCGATCAGGAATCCGGTAGTGTATATATAGTCCAGTCCACATCTCTCACCGTTGTTACACTGCTCCATCGTATATAGGGCACGAGGATTTTACCGAGGGCCAAATATCGGGCACTTATACAAAGATACTCTTTGCCGAGGGCTGACACACGTGAGCCCTCGGCAAAGAACTAGAGGTCGGCAAAGAGGTCTTTGTCGAGGTACGGCCTCTCGGCAAAATATAATATGGTTCAAATCTTGCCGAGGGCCTGGCCCCTCGGATTAAGATGCCCTCGGCAAAGTAGGTCCGCTTGGTCACGGCGGCCATTTCCGTCAAACTTTCTTTGAGGAGGGCCACCCGTTAAACCCTCGGCAAAGGTTCGACAATTTTTAAGTCTTTCCGAGGGCCCCACCACTGAACCCTCGGCAAAGTTTTTTTATTTTTATTTTTAAAATTCTTTGCCGAGGCCATAGGGTCGATCCCTGGAAAGAGCCCTACAAAAAAAATTTTGGTTTTTAGCCCAGTTTTTTAGCTGCTACAATACATTGTTTTGAACTCAATTTTAAAATTTAGGCCAATTTTGATTTTGTTTTGTATATTTCCTTAATTTATTTCGATTCTTTGATTTTTTTTGAATATGTCAAATTTGAGCTTGGTGCATGGAATATTGCAATGTAGTGTTTGAAAAATGTTATTCATGTTAATTGGTGCATGTTGAGTCCCTATCCACGAGCTGCATCAAATTTTCATGCATCTTGTTAGAACATGGCGACCGACTTACTTAGGAAAGTGTTTTAAAATTATATAAAATCCATCAGTCAAAAATCACGAAACTTGGCGAGATGTCATTTATCCCCCATGTGTGAGCTGTCTGGTAAAAATCCGACGGTTTAACGAGTTGCGCGTCGGATGCTTACCACAGCCTACATATCCATATCACATTTACACCCGACAAGTTTCTGTGATTTTTGGACTTCAGATGTATTTTATATAATTTAAAAACACCTTTCGACAAGTTTCTCGTCATGTTACGTGAAGAAGATGCCCAAATTTGATGCGAGTTCGTGGATAGGGACTCAACATACACCAAATACCATGAATAACATTTTTGAATCACTAAATTGCATTATTCCATCCACCGCAGCTCAAATTTGAAATATTCATTCAAAAATCAACGAAAAAGAAATAAATTAGGAAATATATAAAAAAAGTCAAAATTGACCCAAATTTTAAAATTGAGTTTTAAATAATGTATTATAGCACCACCAAAAAACTGAGTTCAAAAAACCAAAAAAAAAAAATTGCCGAGGGCTTAGCCTGGCCCTCGACAAAGAGGATCTTTGCCGAGGGCATGGGGCCAATGGCCCTCGGCAAAGAAAATTAAAAAAAAAATACTCCAGCTTCTGCTTTTCCTTCCCCACTCTCTGCTCCTTCCCGACGCTTGTCGTCCCTCCTCCGCAGGCGTTTTTTTTCACCGAGCGCCGCACCTTCTTCCCCGGCGAGAGAGATCTGCCGCAGCCAAGCAACCGTCGCTTTTGCAGCCCACAGGCGGCGGCACATCGTCCTAGGCGCGAGCCTCGCGACCCTCACAAGTGCTTTCGGCGCGGACGGCGGCCGGTCGCCGCCGGCCGCATCGCCGCCCCGCCGCCCCCCACCGCGATATCTCGCCCTCCGCACCTCCCTCCCGGATCTTGCTCCTCGCAGCGCTCTCACGCCACGGTGCGTGCCGCCGTCCTCGGTGCGTCAACCGCGTCTCCTCTCCAACTCGCCATCTCTCCTCATGGCATCTAGGGTTTCCCATCTCGATCCGGCTCTCGATCTACATTTCGTCGTCCCCTTGACGCAGGAAGATATACAACGTGTGCACGCAGAGGCCAGCGCAGACGACCGTCGTCGCAGCAGCTCTACCACAGTGCATCGGGAGCCGTCGTGGAGTACATCGACTCCACGGTGAGCCGCCTGCTCATAACGGGTCCGGTTGCCTATTTACCCATCCGCTACACACAAAGGTTCTTCTTAGTCTAACCATGCTCCTCACAAATTTCGTGATCATGCCCGAATCTTCCATACCATCCATGTCTCATTGGGCGGATCTAAGACCCCTGTCCCCTTCGCCTTATTCAGGTAGTATAAGCTTCCTGCTGTGATTATTTGGTCCGAACTCTGTTCACCTTCATTGTGTCTTCCATGCTGCAAATTATGACTGCTAGCTTTCCCTTTCATGTATTGCTTGCACGACTCACCAATAGCTTGTGATTACATCACGGCGATGACATACTTATCAACTTAATTGTGCATCATCTCTCGGTTCTATGCTTGGCATGACTGCTCTCCGTGCCGAGTATTTAACAAACTTTCACATATACCGTTACCTCGCCAAGCACATGCTTGTGACTTGAAGCAAGCAGCAACCGCATATTAGCACATGCTTGTGACAAGAAGCAACCCAACCGCATTTTATTTGCCCTCCTCTTTGTTTTTGTTTTCTTAATTATCTGTTATAGTGGCATAAATTAATTTGTTCTATCTTAAAAGTAAGTCCGATGAAGGGCGGGCCCTTTTTTAAAAAAAGTAAGTCTGATATTTTTCATTTGGCTTTTTAGTGTTGGCCAAGTAGGTAGTATCTCGCAATTGTGAGCGTGTCAAAACTTCATTGTCATCTTCACCATCCTCCCGCCTCAGATTTCGTGTTTTCGCTCGTACTTACCTCTGA